TACGTTCGAGAATCATAGGAAGTGTATTGCATATTTCGCCGTGTAATGGCGCTGTAATCTGCGCGCGCATTTCGAACGAAACGTCAACTTGGAATAAAAAATAAAAAACTCTGGTTCATCAAATACACAAAATTTACGAAAAATTTTTAAAAAAGAACAAAACTATTCATACACTAGATAAAAAAATTATCAATATTTCAAACTGTTATAATTTCGTGAAAAAGAATTGTAGAACAATTAACTTGATTTTATTTTAGTGTAAAGTCTCCACTTTAACAATTTTGAATTTGTTTCTTTTAAAGATATTTATTTTTACATTATGCAGGAAGTGTAAAAATAAGAAAACTTTTCTTCTCAGAAATTATGAAAATATTCAAATATCTCGCCGAAGAGAAGTTTCTCTGTCACTGAACAATTTTATTTCACGATCAGATCAATCGTGATCTTGGAAATTGAAATCTCCTCTTTACGATGAGCCCTTAATACTAGCTGTACGATTTGTTTTCATCATTGAACTTTAAATAATAATTCCTTAATTTTTAACAAGTTATAACAACAAATGACCTCGTATGCAAGTTATTGAATTCGTCTTAACAAATACCTTTGCTTTATATCTTTATATTTGATTAATCAACTTGAACTTTTAATAATAATAATTATTTTCCTATATTATTAACATCCTGTACATACAATGCAGCACACCGAGTTGATAACATTACGCAGATAACAGAGAAGAACATTTATTCCCGTTACCTAGACCGCATAAATTTATTTGAATAAATTCCGCCGTTTTGTAACACACGTTTTGTATTCACAAAATTATAATCACTCTTAAATACCTGTGGGTTTTATTCGATTTGCATTTACCGGATATAATTGTGTCGAAACGTTACGTGTCCGTTAATGAATTCGAACTACCGAAGAACGCGTCGATTTAATTCACACACGCACAACAGATTCCCTCGTGAATTATTCCGCAGCCGAATATTTAGGATAACTCGGCGTGTTAATCATTTTATCAAACATTTCTGTTCCGATGTTTCGTTTCACGCTGTGCAAAACTGCACTATGCGCAGCGCGAACGCGATCGAAAATTGACATTGCCGATTTGAACAAATATGAAAAATGTCGCCAATGAAAGGATCCTTCTTCGTGGAAATAGCGCGGTGTGTCCGACGGGGGCCATTCATATTTTATCAACCTCCTTATCAATTTCTTAACCACGACCGTGCCATTTTTCAGCCGACTTTCCCATTCCCTCTGTATGCCGTCGCTTTCCAGTTCTTTCCTCCCCAAAACACGCTTTGAAAAGAGCATTATTCCCGGCGCATTTTTGCGCTCGTGAATCTACAAAGTAAACATATTTCGAAGCGTATGGTAAAACGCTTTCAGCTGCCCGTGTAGCTTAAATTTATTAACCATTTATTAACAACGTTACATGAAAAAAATTGTTACGAAATAATTTCCAGAGACAAGAGCAAAGTAAATTACTTTGGATACAAGATAATGGAAATAACAGGAATTTTAGAATCTTGGTATTTTAGAATCTTGGAATTCTGAAATCTCGGAATATGAGAATTTTAGAATTTTGGGATCTTTTGAATTGAAGGGAATTTTAGAATTAGAATTGCAGAAATTCAAAAATTTGGAATCCTAGAATTTTAGTATTCTTAAAATTTAGCATTTCAGAACCTCTGAATTGTCGAATTTTGAAATCTCAGTACTTTAGAATTTCAGTGTCCAGAATTTGAGAATTTTAGAATAGATAGAATATTTTTCTCCTGCATTCAACTTCTTTATTTGAATAAGATATTATATATTATTTAAATATTAAAATTGTATGCTTGTCGTCTTCAAATTTTTCAAAAAATTATTTTTTTCCTCCCTTCAAAGGAAAGTTGTTTCCTGACAATTGATGCGCAACGTTATCTCTGTGAACGCGGGTGTTCATCATTTTGCGCGGTTGCTTTAGCACAAGCTCTTTCAGCGAAATTTATTTCGTCGGTCGGTTAACAAAATTTATTGAAAATATGATAACGAGTTTCAATGCGTTTTCGCAAAGGAAATAAATATCGTTCCTGTTTCCTGTACATTCCATTTTTCATATCAAATATGAACACGTTCGATTTAACGCTGCTGTGTACGACAACGTTGACGTAAATATATGTGTGTCGATCAATAGCCGTTTGTAAAAACCTATACGTATACAGAAATTCGAATCTCTATTTTAGGAAACTTCGTAATTTGAAATGTGAAAAACATTCTACAATTTTATTGTACTCCTTCTTTTAAACAAAAATTGTTTTATGATATAAATATTAGATATTTTATGTAGATACATATTCTTTCTAGTTATGTGCACTTCGTACAATTTGATATTTTAAAATTTTCCATAATATATAAAATATTTCATAATATAAAAATTTTCCTAAAATATATGCTACGTAGTAATAGTTATGTCTTTCAATCTTTTTCTACACAATTGCCAATACTTATCCAATGTATTTGTACTTACGCTTGTTAATGAATCGTTTAAATTACGAGGGTAAGAGGTTCCAACTACATTATCGAATTAAAGTTCGAAATAGTTATGCTAGTTTGTTAAACCTTTTATAGCCAGGATTATATTAGCATAATTTTTTTAGATAGGCAAATAAGCTTTGTAAATTTCTAAAAAAAACCATATCTCGCGAGCAAGATTATGTATGAGAACATTAGTATGATAATGTCTCTTCTTTCATTTCTCATCGCTAGACTTCGTGCAAATTTATATTTTTATAAATATAATTAAAAAGATAGAGATGAAATTCAGAATTGTTTGATTAAATTAATTCATTGACTTAATTTGTTGCACTTTGAAATTTTTCATAATTGTATGAAACATTTATAGTCTACGTATTACTTTCTTGATCTTCTTTTTCATGCCTAATTAAAAAAAAAAGCACTTGCACGTGCCTTTATTTTTTAATCAAGAGTTTATTACGTTTGAAGTACATTTCAATTTCACAGTATCAAATTTTCGTAATCATATGAAAATACAATATCACTAAATGACATGAAATTTATTATACTATTAATATAATAATTATTATAATATTTTATAGCAGGAAAGTACAATATTATTAATTGATACGAAATTTAATGAACTTGGAGCTAACTAATTGGTCTATATATTCTATTGAAAATCTAACAGCGTGCAATTATTACTGTATTATTATCGTTATGCTATTTAGTACAATATTCAATATTTATTACTTATTACAGTATCATACAATATTACATGAAATATTCCTAAATATTCCAATATTATCAAATAATACGAAAATTCAATACATTGAATACAATTATAATCAGTATATAAATTTTCTAATAAATCTAGTAATGTACACATAATTACTTCTTATAATGCGTCTCATTGTATTTTATTGCTGAGTTCTATAATCATTTTTTATATATCATTAATATTTTATGTTCAGTATTTCATTATAATATTTTAATGATACAGGAAAGTAGAATCTAGGGAATGTGGCAGTTTTATAGACAATTTTATATATTTTTAATATTTTATATTTTATATTTTACATATTATTCAAACTTTTTAATGATATAGTAAACTAGAATATGAGACACTATTCTTATATTCTAGAAAGTAAATATTTTAGGACGTAAACTTTACATTTTACGCGTTTTCTCGAAATGCATTTTACTCGAAATTCCAAGAACAGAACGGAACAGAAAGTTCTGTGATTCGTGCCCTTGACGCGGAATGTTCTCCTGTACCGTGATACAGTGAATCGTAATATACGCATAAAATTGAATCTCGTTTCTTTCTGAACACGTTTTCTAGTTTAACATAGTTCGTATTTAACGTTAAAGTGCTCAAGACGTTACCGTTCGTGAAAAATTCTACAATTAGAAACTCGCATTAAAGTCAACGATGGCTTCTCGTACTGTTAAGCGATTATGCATTGCATGAAGTACCCATATTACATAAAATTCGTACACGGTTAAGAATTATTAGAATCGGAGTAAAACGTGACTCCTTAGTTCCGTAGTTTCTATAATTAGCAACACGAAGCGCAATTATCACATTTATATGATATTTAGTCTTGAATAACATCAAATTAATTAACTGTACTATAGATATATATGTATGTGCGGATAGATATGCAAATAAGCTTCCTTCTATCGTATTAAATTTCTGAAAAGGACAAAATTCCCTGACATTATCTACTGAGTAATTTTTTCACATTATATTTCACACTATATGGATATAAGGGTAAGTTCTGTCATTTTCTGCAATATCGACTTTCCTAATTTTTTGCTGGTAGATGGTGGTAGCTATTGAAACAGTACGTAGTTTAAGAAGTTAGTTTGAACGGTTACTTTTCCTATTATATTAAGCAGTAGAAATTGTTCGGGTTAATTAATTGTTTTTATTAATATCATAATGTGCGATTCAAAAGAGCATCTGAGGCATTGTATACAGGTAGCATTATATATCAGAAAAGAAATAGTGCTGTGCAAACGATAAAGAAACTTATGTGATATGTTTAGTGAACCTGCTATAACCTCTAAAACTACCCCAAAGTTGGTTTGAAAAATTTCGAAAAGGTGACTTTTCATTAAAACATATATCAAGATCGAGAAGACCATCACATATGATGATGTCTTATGCAGAATAATATACAAACTTTAACATGCATTGATGCTACAAATATACTTGGAGTTCACCAAACAACCCCAAGCGATTACCATCTTTTCCGCAACTTACATAATGACTGTTGACGCGTCAAAAAATGGGACATTCTTATTCTAGAGGAATAAATACGTTGACAGAAAGTGATATCTAATGAAGAAAATTACACAATGGATTAATTTTTAAGTAAGAAGAAAGAAAAATGCTTTTGAAGCGACAGAATTTTCCCTTGTACTCAATATTTCCACAAATATTCCAGAAGTATCGTTAATAACATGGTGCATTTTCTTTCTGCTTACAGATGGTGACAAGGACAAAGAAGATATTCGTCGGTGGACTATCGGCACCGACGACGCTGGAGGACGTGAAAAACTACTTCGAACAGTTCGGCCCGGTGAGTAACACGCACTGAATGATGTTGATTAATAACGCGCGTAAATCACGACGGACGCAGGCCACGAAACTTCACGGTGACGAACATTCGACATCGAAATCGTATATTATCGGACGCGGTATGTGTCAGAACTCGCTCGCAGGCGAAATCATCAACCGTGTTACCGCGTTCGGTTTTCTCGTCACGGTCCAGACGGACAGCCTAGCTGGTGATCATTGTCGCGAGACCATAGGAATCATTATTTTTGGCGAGCGTGCCAACGTGACCGACACGTGGCTCGATGCGATTCAGCGTTTTGCTTATTTCACGCGTGCCTTCCTAATCCGACATGAAACGCGATATTTGACAGGGTCAACGGTTGTGAAAAGCTCGCAGTCTGTGCGATTCCGCGACGTTTATCGTTTCAGCAATTCTGATGCATTTTGCGTTCATCTGTCTACCGTTTCACTAGAGCATATTGCTGGACAAATACACAGGGAAATGCTGTATTTGTCGAACTCTTGAGAATTATTTTTGATTTTTGAAGGATTGATAACTCTTTATTTTTGAAGTTTGGTACTTCTGCCTCTAGTTCTATTTAACAATCCAAAAGAGAAACAGGAATGATATTATATTCATCGAATTTTTAATTTTATAAGAATTTTCATTTTTGAAAGATTAATTAACTTTCAACCGGGATAAAATGTAATATAAATCTGAAAGGTACATTTATATTTGCTTTACGCCTAAATTATCAACAATTTCGGTACATTTAGATCGCAAAATTCTGAAATCTCCGTTTAGGAAAATCGTAATTTCGTATTCTCTGTAAACTCGAAACGAGTTTATCCCTCGTTTGACGATCCGATTTCCATGCATCGTTCTTCCCATCAACATAATATTCGCCGGAAAACCAATTGCACATAATGGCCATAATTACAATTTCCAAAATTCCGTTTCGCTTTTATTACCCGCAATGATTCTGGGAACGGTTTCAGAAACGGTGATATAACTGAAACGAGCAACCTCGATATTCGGTCCGGACGCGTCTCACGGTTGAATCGTCGGCAAATACGTCGTCGACTATCGAGGGGGCCAATCAGAATTTTGGCCGATGAACGTTGTATCCGCGTATCGTTCGTCGGTCGTGTTAAATCCCTCGCCGTCACTTCCGGCAAACGCTCTCGAGACACCTCCTCGCTCGTCGCCTGGTTAAGTGATTAGGAATCAGTAGAAGGACCACCTGAGACGAGGATTTCTGCTAATTAGCCTTTATCGACCTTTGGCGAGACTGCGCGGACCATTACGCGTTATTGTGCGAACTTCTCCGGCTTCTATCGCCTTGATAATAGCCGTCGCGATTCATCGGCGTCGGTTGTGTGAAACAGATAATGGTACTTGAGCTTGATTTATGGAGCCCGGGTGGTAGTCGAGCCGAAATCGTTCCACGTTCTGGCGATAACGTAAATAGAATTAACGGTTTGGTAATTGGTAATAACGACTACGATTTGCCTTTTTCCCAACCCTTCTCGGTCGGTAGCCCGGGATATAAAATTGACATAGTGGACGAACGTGCAGCTGGTTTCAAAAGCATTATGCCGGGGAGAAATAGTTGTCTGCCCGTCCGCTCGGCTTTATGGTCCCTATATTCTCCAGTGTTTCTCTAGTTTAACCCTCGGACCGGCGGAATAGTTATATATTCGCATGCACGGCAGTGGCTTGGGTTATTGAATGTTTTCAGATCTTTAAATTACTCTGGTTCGTAATAATTGGAGTAAATGTGTATTTACAAATATTATTATATTTTTATGTATTTCGTATGTATTTTACAATTGTACAATTATTCACAGATGGTCTTCGTTTTATTGTTCATTCGTATATCTTTTAAATTAATTTTTTATTATTTTGTTCTTTCAAGCAAAATTTCTCAATGTACAGAAATTTTGGTAGAATAAATCACACAGAAAATACGAATAATAAAATTAATAAAAGAAAGAGAGACAATGCATTACTAGTGCCGCGATTGTTAATGTTAGCCGCGTTCTTTAATGTTAACAAAACAAAAATTTTAAAGCCTAAATTTGTAGGTAATTGAACGAAATTTACGACCTGCGCGTAATCGTGGATATTAAAATCAACAGTCCCCTCTATGTCAACCTGGGGAAACCGTTCGAGACTGTAATTCCGTTAAAATACACTTTTCTCCGACTGTGCGGAAATCCCAGTGCAAGAAAAAACCTTCCCGCTGGAAACGCGACGAAGGTTTCGCTTCTCGGTCGACGTTTCACCAAAGTGTCGTCTGGTTTGCGTGCGAGATGGGAGCGACGGTTAAAAAGGGGAGAAACACACGGGAGAAAAAGGAGGGTGGGAAAATGTGGGGAAAAATGATGGTGGAGGTTGTCCACAGTTCGTGGCACGAGCCAGAAATGGATTTTGAGATATCAGAGCGAGGCACTATCTCCGGCCCTGGCCTCTTGACTCTCGTACCAACCACCGTGCCCGCGCAGTCTCTCTTTTTCAACCTTCTCTTTCGTTCGCCGTTGAAACGTCTCGTCCGGTTCCGAATGCAGAGTTTCCTGCCCGCGGAGCGATTCCAGCTCGCCTCCCTTGTGTGCCTGACCCACATACGAAGATACGATCGGACACACATCGCCCGTTCAGAACTGTACGCGAATGCCGGCCCGCTTTGGTGTGTACGATCGTGAGATTGCAAATAGACGGTATCGGAAACTGCGCGCCGCGGTGAAATAGATAAATTGACCTTTGGAAAAATGTTTAGCTTAGACGTCAAACACGGAACGCGTTCCCTCTTTTTGAATTCATTACGAAATTATGGAGAAACTACTGACTTCTTCTGTTTCTTTTGCCCCTTGCCCTTTTCTGTAAATTTCTGCTTCTTCCGGCTCTTTGTGCCTCACTGCTGGAAACTATTCGCGCAATTTTCGTTTCTCTTGGAAAGGGGAATAGAAAAAGAGAAAAGAATGTACTTTCCTTTCGAAATATAATTCTTGATTTTAAAAGACCACGCGGGGAATCCTTGGCACGCGAGGAATTAAAAAGGAAGTTAAGTGGGTGAATCTTTTAACGTGCCGCGTCTACGTTTCGTGTGTCTTCGCGTTTATATAGCGATTTAAATAGACCGGCGATCGATCGCGGACGCGCGCGAGTTCTTCTCCTAGTTAATTCGCCGACACTGACGCACGAGTGGCGTGCACGCAGTTGCAAATTTGCCACGTCGAGCACGACTGTACAAACAGTCTCGTCCATGCTTAGCCAGTAAACACACGAACTGTAGATCGAGTCCAGATGTATCCTTATATCGTTTGCTGGCCATTTCATCAGGTCAGTCGAGTTCTCGATAACCCTCGATATCCCGCGTCCGACTAGGATAAAGAAAGGGCGAAATCGTGATCTTCTGATAAAGTTAATAGTATTTCTGTAGTAAATTCGTTATGATCGGTTATATACTTCGCCGTATCTTGGAATCGTTACTATTTCATCGTTTTATTGCGAATTTAGTTCTTTTCCGTAAGATTTCTTTTCAAAGGGTAGAGAAATTTCTACTTTCGGGGAAATGCAAGTAATAAAGTTTCCTAGTCGGGTCGTGGACTTTTATATTTTTAAATTTCCCATAAATGTAATCTATTTCGAGACTATTGCACCATGAAAATATCTATTTGTTAAAAACGAAGAAAATTGTGCATTAACGATTTCTTTATCTTGACAATGCAATAAAATAAATCCGAATTGCGATAGGGAAACTTTTGATCGACCGTCACCGAACAAATATAGATATCAGTTTATGAAAATATCCAAAGTTCTCAGTGACGCGATTCGAGAAAGGAATTGTATAGCTATCCATCGTGAAACACATACCTCCAACTTTTATTATTGCCGGAATTTCACTTCTTAGCAAATTGCGAAGCAAGTTTCATCAAACTTTCTATCATATTTCTACGTCATCGTGGTACCTTTTATTCTTTAACCTCGTTTCTAACCATTGGATAAAGCGATGGAAACGGGAGAGAGAGGGAGGGAAGAAAAGACCGACGAGCGAGAGGAAAGGGAACTAGAGCCAGAGGAAATAAATCCTTATCCGCGAAATGGCGGGGCTATGAGTTGTACGAGTGAGCTGATGATATTTCCAGTAACTGCATTATATTTATTTGTATCGTGGAGTTCCTTCACGCGAGAGAAACAGTGTATCGGGTCTAAGGCCGATGGCAAATATCGATACGCGATCGTGGAGGTAAACCTTATCAAGAATTTGCCCCATAAATCCATCCTGTCGATCGTCGAAAGGAACAAGCACGTTTTTCACGGATTAGTGCCACCTTATATCGAGCGTAATGTATTTTTCGCGTTTAAATGGGAATTCATTCGACGCGATTGCACATTTTATTCTTCGGGAAACAGAATGGTTAACAGCTCTCTCTCTTTCTCTCTTTTTCTCTCTATTTCACGCGATAAATAGTTCTTCCATACAAGACGATAGTAGTGATTCTTATAATATTCTCGGAATATATGTCGAATTGTTGCGCACGATTTAATCAAAGTAATTTCCATATCGTTATATAGAATATTTTTCCAATGGCTATTTTATTTCAAGAAAGAAGTTGATGCAATTTCTTTAAAATAATTTATGAATCAATAAAAATTGTCTCTCACCTTTATCAAACGCTACGTTTACGTTCGTAGGAACTTTTTTCCAAATTTAAGTTCACGTGAGAAAATTACACGAATATCCTGATTACAAGATGAAGTTTCATCGCGAATTTGTCCAACAACAAACATACATCGTCGACAGTGCAAAATTTAGTAATATTGACATAGAATCGAATATTCAAAAAAATGCATCAGCCTGGTATTTCAATGGGAAAACGTTCGAATGTACGAAATCGGAACCAACGACACTAAGAAAGCCACTATGTTTCGATCAAGGCCGGTTTCGTGAATTTTTATGCACCGAGGAATCGTCAATGATATCGTCTCGTTCGATGCCGAAACCCGGTGCCCGGTAA